CATCGCGTGTCATGAGGAGCGTAAGGATAGATTCGTAAAAACAAGTTGCTCTTCATCAAATTTTCCTAGTTCAGTAATATATTTTAATTATATTTTTCTTATATTGATTATAACATGATAAATCAATTAAATGAAAAAATTAAACTATTTTGAAATATAGAAAATATTATAAATAAATATATTAGAAATTAGAAAAATATACAAGATAAAGTAGCATAATGTTGAACATGATACAATTTTGTTTCTCATATTGTTAAAAAGAGTAATTATATAATTTCGACAAACATGAAAATTATTTAGTTTTGTTAAAAGTGAAGCAATTAAATTTTTAGGATTTTTCTGTCTTAACTTTAGAGTAATAAGAGATATTCATGTGACATACTGACTACTTTTGGTCAAGTTTGGTAGTCATAAGGTGATATCAATTATGTTATAAATAGAAGTTTGTCGCGTATGCAGAACAAATGTAACTTACAAATTTTTAATATTTAAAAAAAATATATGTAACTAAAATTATTTAAAAAATCTTATAAATTATAAAAAATTTAAAAATTTTATATTTCTTTCAGTATATTTTCTTATATATTATCTATTTTGTAATAATCTTTCCGATGTATAATAATATGATACTATTAGTTCAAACATTGCAACAATTACGAAAACGATTATCACGAGATTACTGTGTTGGACGTGAATAGACATTCCTAATTGTCACTTAATAAATAACCTAACTTTATTGATTTGTATTCACATTAAAGAAGGCTTATTCATATTTAAATTACCCTATTGAATAGAATAGTAAAATGTGTATCAAATAAGATTTTTATTTTCTTATGATGTTCAACATATTATAATAGTGTAATATCCAAGATCGTTCATTCTATTAATTCTGTAGGAAAAATTTTATCCTTAGATTATAACGTATCTTATAAATACATGATGTAAAGCAAAAACTATAAACGTATAATAATAAAACAGTAGTTTTTTTTACAATTATGACATCTGAACTGATATTCTTCGTGAATATAATAACGATAAATTTTTAGTAATTTAGGAAAGTAAAATGAATCTATTTTTAAATTATTAATTCAAATTATTTGATGTTTAGAGAATTTATGTGTAGAGATCTGTGTATTTTTTAGAATGATTGTGTGTGAAATGCTTCAATATTCTCACGATCAGATAATGTTCCATTATAGCGGCCAATTTTCTTACAGCTATAATTTTTCCTGTTTATCAACAAGTAGTGCTATACATATACAGCACATTCAGCTAACCACAAAGTATATATTGCAAAAACAGCTGCTTGACTGCATATACTGACGGCGGAGGAACTTACCATATGACATATTAAGATTAATAAAAAAAACTTCACAATATCAACGCTACTTTATTCATAGGTATGAATTTCGTATCGATAATGTTGTTGTAAATCGCACCCTTTATCAGATGCGTCACAAATTCTTGATAATATGATTGCGGTTTTTTATACTATTATACCTACTTAAAAACAAAATAAGAATTTGTAGTAATATAAAAATTTTTTCTACACTAAAATCGATACATTTATTTATAGCCATGCATTAATTGGCTTAAAAAAACCGATTAAATGATAAAATATAATTGTGTTTTTTTTTCTGTCATTTGTTGATGCATATGTGAATTTTTTGTATGGTTCTTGCATGAAAACGTACGCCGCACTACTATAGATAGACAATTTATTGTATTGAAATATGAAGAAATAATGGCTGCGCCGATCAGAAAAGTTTAATAAACGATCTAATATTGTAAAATTACTTTGGAAGAGATGTACGTTCAATCGATATAATTGTTCGAGAATTTCTCTTATTAGGTATAATTATATAATTTTATGAACCATAATCCTGTGTATCTCATTCTAACATTATAATTGATTTTATCAAATGTAAAAGACATATATTTATCCTATAATTTTGTTCTATATAATATATATTTTCAAAATTTTTAAACTTGTTATGTTTTACATTGTTAATATGTTCGCAAAAATATTATATTTAAATATATTAAATATATGGAGGCTTTAATTACCTGTAACATTAAAATATTTGTTTTTATCTCTGTCTCTCTCTATCTATCTATCTATTATCTATCTATTTCTATCTTCTTATAATATAAATATATTTATTTAAAAAATGATAACTGTTTTAAACACAATAAATAACATAAAGTTTATAATTTTTTATGGAATTATTAAGATTTGAAATTAATTAAATCAACATAAACAAAATACATATATTTATGCTTCTTTTGACTTTTTTTGACATATTTTGAATACAATATATGCATTACTACATTGCCAAATGATGTAATAGACAATTGAAATAATTTTTCTGTAATTGTTTTCGTATACATTACTTAGTCGTGCCATTATTAGAACGAGATCAAGTGCAATTTTGTGATGTAAATTATATCAATTGATCATATATACCATTTTCCCAACATATTTACATTACTTAATTGATGTAAAATTAAAATTTTTTATGATTAATAAGAATTTGATAATTTACGTTACGAAAAAATTAAAAAATGCGAAGTATATGCATGACTTAATCAAGTTAAAAATATCTAAATATATTTATATTTATATATTCTTGTTATACATGTAGTAATTATTATAAATATAAGAAATATTAATAATTAATAATTGTTAAAAGCGAATTACTCTTTGGTATTTTTGTAGTTTATAATAACATAAAAACTTGTTTGATAATGTTAAATCAACATTTATTATCGAAACGTAAAATATTCCATTTTTTATTTATATCTATTCCGTGACAATCTCTCGGATATAGAAAAATATAAAAATATTGAAACATATTGATAAGTATACATTAACATAAGATGTTATTTTGTTGCATCAAAATCTTCCCAAATCTAAAAAATTATATTTATTAATAAAAAATAATAATACTTATACAATATAACGACATTTAAATATTTATACATAAGTAATTATTGATGATATATTTTTAAAAATGTTATCTTTTTAATGTTAAGGATACCATAATTAAGTAATATCCAAGTAAAAAAGCACATATTTAACATATTTATTGTATATTTCATCAATTCCACAAAAGACATTTTATTTCATAATATTTTCTACGCGTGCTATATAAAATTGAAATATGTATAATAATACTCATAATCATTAAATGTAAAATGTCCTTCCGAGAAAGGATGTTTGCATAGAAATAGAACATAAACATTTATATTTACGGTACATCTTTTTTAATTATTTCAAAAATTTATGTTTATTTTATAACACTAATGTCTATATATTTTTAGATACTATTTTTGCATATAAAATATACGTTGTCTGAAGTATTTTAATAAATATTATAATTTTATATTTACGTACCTTAATATTCGGAGATGATGTTCTACAATAGTGCTTAGTTCGGTTATATGATTTTCCTTCTGATTTTCTACAAGTTCATGTAAATGTAAAATGTTTATAGCACGTTCAATTGACAGGCGTGCATTGCAAAAACACAGCAGTCAGGCTGCATGCATCGATAATAGATGAACCCATTATAAACGTTGATAGAAATTGCGCAATTAACGCGATTTTATTGGATGCATCCTTTAAGTCTTATTGCCGACAATGATGGATATGATTTTGATTGCTCTGGCTATGCTGAATGCACCGTTATGCATATACTTTAATTACTCTACAAATCCCGGCGACGAAACGACCTAACTAGCGTATATAATAATTGCACCATTATTTGATGATTTTCAATCCTACTTTTTTCTATTTTTTTATTTTCTATTATTTTCTAATCGGTCTCCATATGTCGTATTAATTTATCAACATCGCTACTACGTTTAAGAAGCATCCAATAATTTACCAATCCCATAAATATGAAATAGCGAACTAATGGCGCTCCGTTTTAATTTGATATAGGCTTTCTTGAATAATGTGCATGGTATCATAATAATAATGTCACTTCGATCATACAAGTGAAAGTGTGTAATAACATGAACATCTTGCATACTATATTTGAGCTGTTTATTTATAGCCAAGCACCGATTTGAAGAATCATCGATTTAGTTGAAGATTAATCAGAGCCGGTTTTAGGCGGTAAGCATGATATAAGCGGCTTCATTGAGGCGTTTTGAAGTGGAGGCGCCTTGAAGTGGAGACTCCTTAAAACGGTGGCGCTTATTAAAGCGAAGGCATCTTAAACTTAGAGCCAAAAACATGTACATGTTTAAAATAATTATTAAAAAATTTTGAAAATTTCTTTAGAAAGATAAATTGATATTTTATATTTGTAAATTATGTTCGAAATTTTGTTGTGTTATTATACATATATTATATGAATGTGTGAGAATAAGAGAGGGGGAAGGCGCTTTTTCAAATATTCCATAGGGCGTCAAAGATGTTGGAATCAAAGTTTCTGACTATAATTATTGTAATTTTTGAAGCTAGTATTTCTGGACATAGATTTCGAGATATAGGTCGAGATTTTGTCATGATTACATAAGTGCACGTGACATATGGTAGTAGACAGTACTTGCAAAAATTTTATTTGAGTAAGCACGTGCGCCAACTTCTGACCGAGTTTGGAGAAAGTTCTTATTGACGTATTTTTTTCTGAGAGGAACTACACGTTCGATCAATAACTGTTCGCAGCGAATTATTTGTTTTGCTAATTTAACAGGAAATCGTATTCAGATAAATGTGTAAAAATATTTTACAGAAATAAATATCAGTTTTGTAAAATATTGAACTTTATAATTACGTAATTTTAAACAAATCATTAAAAAATTGCCGCTTTTGGGAAATTTAATCGTAAAAAATCTGATGTATACATCATTAACATTAATTACTTACGTGTATTAGTTAATGTTTTTTAATATCCCACACCTGGAAAATATTTCATTCTGTACAAAATATGTTGTCCAACTTTCTAACTTACTACATTTCTAATTAACTACATTGCTAACTACAAGTTTTACGTCATTGTTCGTAAAATATTTAAATACGCCATGGAAGTTTTAATTACCTGAAACAGCAAAATTTTTGTTTCTATTAATAATATACGATTTCATGTATAAAATGTTGCATTACAACATTTCAGTCAAATATGATTAACACAATTAAAAATAAAATTTAAATTTTATACTTATTAAATTTGAATATTATAAGACATTTAATGACATGTTACTTACATCGCCAAAAGTTGCAATAGACAAATGAATTAACTTTCCTGCGGTTATTTTGATTACATTACTTGATCGCATTATTATTAAAATGAGACAAAGGGCTGTTCTGTGTGGTAATTGATACCAATTAATCATGTATACCACGTCTCCGACATTTTTGCACTAATAAATAAATATCAACATTTTTTAATTCGTTATATAAATATCTACAAATCTGCAGAAAGTATTAAAAGCAGTTATTATAAAAAAAAATATTATTAATATATGAAAGTATTAAAAGCAGTTATTATATAAATATATTAATTTTATTTTTATATTTTATAAATGGATTTGAATAGTTTCTACTTATTCTTATAAAAATTATTTTAATCTTGAAAGATGTATTACTTGTTCTGTCAAAATCTCGCCGATATAGCAAAAAATAAATATATTAAAACTCATTGAAGTATATAAAATAATATATGACAATATTTTTGCTGCATCAAAAACACCCCAATTCTGAAAAATTATAATTTTACAAGTTTATTAATAAAAAATAAAATTAATTCTATAAAACTCTGTTATTATTATTATGATTATGTTTCTACGACTTAATTTACACCGAAATTATAACATTGATAATGAAACTAGCCAATCATAGCTATTTGTTTGAAGAATGGAATAATTGTGATCGATTAGTTTCATAACATCGATATTATAACTTCAGCGTGAATCGACCCGTGTAAAGGTAGTCTATATAATTATTATACTATTATTAATTGCATTTGATTTTTATAATTACAAAATATGTATAAAAACAGCTTTTTTAGTAATATATTTCACTAATCATACCATAATTGCGTAATATCCAAGTAAGCACATATTTAGCGTGCAGCCCATCAATATTGCAAGACAAACTTTATGCATAATATTTTCCACACGTGCTATAAAACTGTAATACGTTTGTATGTTAAGTGTAATCTCCACTAACAAAATTTTCTCGTAAAAATTTGTCAATATACTTACATATTTTGTATGAACAACAATATTTATTTTATTTATTATTAAATGTTTGTATAGAAAAAATAAATCTCTTTAAAAATTGTGTCATTCTTGTTAAAGTAAAGTACATACATCCAAGAAATATAGCTCAATAGTAAAGTAAAGTACAGTACCTTAATGCTCTCAAATGATGCTCCACAATAGCAGATAATTTTTGTTCAACTGATCGATTTCCGTTCTTTTCATAATCAATTACAAGTTCGTTCAACCACGTATACAATACGTTGAGTTGACCGCAGACATGCATCGCGAGAACTCCTGTGAGGCTGCAAACACTCACTAATGCGGAACTTACTGCAAATGCCGACACGAATTGTATAGCCAGCATGATTTCGTTTATAGGACTGAATCTCGTGTCGAGTATCTTACTGTATGTTGGACATGTTATTGGATGCGTCCTAAAAGTCTCGTTGCCGACCATGATGGTTACAGTCTTTATTGCTCTTGCGGTGCCGTAGAGTAGCTGACCGCCCTGTGTGATCGCCGCACTAATTCCGGCGAGAAAACGTCCAAATTTAGCGTATTGCAACATTGTTTCACGATCTCCGATTCTTTGTATGAGCTGCTAATCCGTTTCCATATGCTGTATGCAATTATAAATGTCATGACTGCGTTTGAGCAACGTCCAATAACTTATCGAACCCATAATCCTATGAAACAGCGGCCCAAGAACGCCTATCTTTACCGTGATAGTCTGGTCTTCCAATATTACGTACAATATACATGGCACCGTAACGATCGCTATTGTAAGTGAACAAAAGATGATCAGTACTATCGCGGCAATTTTTTCTAATGTACTCGACGTGCTTGTTATGGGCTAAGCACCTATCGGTTTTAGGCACCATCGGTTAATTTGCAGACTATAATTGTTGATGTACTTGAAATCAACGTTACTCAAGTCACGTTTCAAGTTTGTCATGATCGCTTTGTGAACTAGCTTGGCGCACTGCCAGGGTAGACAATGGTTCTAGCAAGGATTCTTTTTGAGTAAGCGCATGCGCCAACTTCTGAAGTTTGATGAACGCTTACATTGATACTTTTTTATTGGGAGTACCGCGTGCATATCAAATCGAGTTTTTCCTAGCAGATTTTGTCTTGTCAGTTTCGCAAGAGGAGAGGAATATGAAAGTACTTTTGTAGCTACGTAGGCAAGTTTTATAAAGTATACAGAATTTTTACTTCTTTAATTTCAGGAAAATCAAGGATATCATTTTTGCTTTTAAAAAATCTTATCTCAGAAAACCCTGTTATATCGTAATTATTAGTTTATTTTATATTTCTACCTAGAAAATAATTTATGTGTCTGTCGTATAACTTGTTTCTCTACGTTTTATACACTCATTGTTCTCAAAAAATTTAAATATGCTGTGGAAGTTTTTATTATCTGTAATAACAGGATTTCTCATTTTTGTTAGTAATAAATATATAACTGTTGATTACATTGTTAATATCTGTTTTGATATGATATATATGTAAAACTAAATAGTCAAATCATCATTACGTAGAATGATTGTAACAATACAATCAAAATTTCTCGACAAGAAAGCAAATTACGTTAAAATTTTATTCAATGCTATTGATAATTATGCTATAATGTACTACTTACATCGCCAAATGTTGCTATGGATAATCGGAATATTTTTCCCGCCGTTATCTTAATGACATAATTCGATTGCATGAGTACCAAAATGAATTTGAGTGCTGTTTTGTGATGCAGTTTATACCAATTGGTCATATATGCTATATCTCCGATGTTTTTGCACTAATAAATAAATAACAATATATATAAACTTTATGAGGAGTTCACAAACCTAACAATGATGATAAAAAGAGATATTTAAGAACATATTAGATATGTGAACACAATTATTTTATATGTTGTTAAATAAATACAATTTAAAACAATAATTTCGTAAAATGAGTATACAACCACACACAAGTTCTTATTAGTGATAAATCATTATAAAACAAATAATTTATTCATATCATTGTCATATAAATCAAATAAATAAACGTTTCGGTCATTAACTTGACCATCTTCAGTATTCAATTACGGTTATAAATATAATCTCTAAAATTAATGTATTTGTCAAAAGTTTATAATTCTACAATACAATTTTTTCGCTTACGACATTAACAACAATTTATAAAATACAATTTAATAATAAAATATACATAATTAAACATATTGATTTTGAGATATTACCTGTTCCGTGAGAACTTCACCGATATAACAAAATATAAATATATTAAACGTATACGATATATATACACCCATATATGAAAATATTTTTACTGCATCGAAATTAGCCCAGTTCTGGAAAATCAATTAATAGTTTCATTTACTGTAAAAAAATAAAATTAATATTTGCAGCATTTCAATTACATCATTCGCAATGTGCAAAGTTTTATTCATTTTTAGCATACCATAACAGAGTAATATCCAAGTAAACACATACTCAGCGTGCATCCCATTAATTCTCCTAAACAGGCTTTATGCATAATATTCTCTATTTGTACAACAAAACTGAAATATTTCTATGTAATTATAATATATTCAGGTAGGATTTTCTTCCGTAAAATTCACTTTAAATCAATATTTATGGGTCCAGTGACTTGGATCTTTTCTTCAATTACACACATTAAAAGTTATTTATAACAAATATTTCTTACAATTTTACATAAACTTAATAATCTTGTTTCTTAGGTTTTGATTCTTAAAATGTGTGTGCTCGCGCGCGTGTGTGCGTATGAAAAGTCGTTCAATTACGTTAACTTTTAAAGTTAAAAAAAAATACATTAATTTAAAGTACACTGAACCCGGCAAGATCTAGTTAAGGCAGAGTAAATATTTTCGTCAATGAAAAGAAACTTATAACATAAAATATAATTGAAATTTAAGATTGAACATGAAAACACAATCAAGTGTATCCCTTCTGATTTTAATAAGTTTTATTATCTTCGTTGTCTGTATGTTAAAATATAAACAAAAATAAAATATATGTATTTTTTAATAAATGCGTTCTCGCACGTTATAGAAATTGAATTTTACTGTGAAAAAAATTCGTTTTTCTTTTCTTTTTAAGTGAATATTAGCAATTAAAAGTATAAACAAATTTTAAATAAAAGTTGAATAATTTGAAGAATATTTTATACTTTTAATAATTTTTTTAATAAATAAATTTTTTAGAAAGTTTATTATTATTATTATTAAGTAATAGTAGAAAATCTTATTTTTTTGTCTTTATATTTTAATATATCCAAAGCTTATTAAAATCGGAAGAGGACACTTGGTTCATGGAGAGAATTTTTCTTACCCTGAACAAATATAGTTATGGGACAACATTGTATATTTCGAAGAATTTTATATATAAGTCTCTCTTATATATTCATTAATGAAATACATACTACTACAATAAAATACATAAAATAAGTTTGATTAATTTTATTGAAGTGCATGGTAAGAATCTTTAAAATATTGTAATGTATTATATATATATACAACTAATGTACTACAACATATTTTTAGGGTAAATTTTAAGAGAAAATTCTTTCCGTGTTATGTTCCCTTCCAAACAAGATACCTGAGGACTCTCCAGTGATGCTCCACAATAACAGCAAGTTTTCGTTCTGCTAAATGATATGTCTTTTCCTCAGTAAGCTCTTTTAACCATGTATGCAATACATTTAGTTGACCACAGGCGTGCATCGCGAAAACGGCGGCAAGACTGCATATAGCTACTGTAGAGGAACTCACTATAAGTGTCGACAATAATTGCACACTCAACAGGATCTCGTTTGTTGGGCTGAATCTCACGTCAACAATTTTACTGTACGGTGGACATGTCATCGGATACATCTTAAAGGTTTCATTACCGATGATAACGGTCGTAGTTTTCACTGCTTTGACCGCGGTGAAAATAATCGCACTACTGTGCATAAATATTGCGCAAAATTTGGCTATGAAACGGCCAATTTTGGCGTATCGTAGCATAACTTCGCGGTCATCTATTGTCCGAACGAGTTTCCAGTCCGTTTCCATATGCAGTATGCAATGAAGAATGTCTTTGTTATGAGTAAGTAATTGCCAGTAATTTATAGATCCCATGATTCTATGCATTAACGGAACGATAGCATTTATTCTAATTCCAAATTTTTCTTTTTCCAAACATATGTATAATGTGCATGGGATCATAATGACCGCTATCGCGGTTGAAAAAATGAAGATTTGCATTAACACCACAATTTGTTTTATTTTGCTCGCATTTCTTTGCGGCCAAGCACCGAGAGATAGAAGAAACCATCGATTAAATTGTATACTGTAGTCATTGACATTTTCGAAATTTATTAGAATGCGTTTCAAATCGCTCATGATCATTTCACAAAAGCGACCTATGTACTACTGCAGTAATCGTATACAAACGTATCTAGAGACATATTCGAAAATACGCTTGCGCCAACTTTTAGGAAAACGCAATAATAAAACAATACGTCGCTAGCGTTGAGAAGAGCGCACGCGACATGTGTCCAATCGATAATCGTTCGTTACATAAAGCTTGTTTGTCAGTTTAACACAAGACTGCGTTCTGTGAGGAATACGAAGATACTTTTACGAAAGTGACAACGAATTTTTGATTTTCCGTCATCTTGCATCGTTTGCAATTTACTAGGTAAAGCTATTCAAATGTGATATACTAATACTTCAAAAAATTTGTAGACGTAATCTCAATATAAATGGATGAAAGGCATTTAAAGTGAAATTCTAGATAATAAATTTATTAGATAGTCTTGTATTTTATGAATAATTCATACAAGTATTCAAATATAATACGAATAATGGTAACTAGAAAATTTCCTAACGCTTTGTACAAAATGGTGTAAACTGTCATCACTAAGTCGGTGACATGGTCCGGAGCATGTTTAAATATATCATAGAGGTTCTCATCACCTAAAACATTTTGAAAATGTATTTAACTGTAAAAACGTAATATACTTATGTTGTCATGTACTCACATCACCAAAAGTTGCGATAGAAAGATGAACTAGCTTCCCTGCAGTTAATTTGATTACACTACTCGATCGGGAGATAATTAAGATAAGACCTCGAGCCGTTTTATGTGGCAAACGATACCAATTAGTCAAATAAGCTATTTCTCCTATTTGTTTACACTATTAAATTCTTTATTTTATAATAAGGAAAAGAGAGTTGTGATAACTGCACATATTTACTTTTATTTATAAAACGTGGAAAAGATATATACCATATACACGTTATATAGGTATATTACCATAATTCTTATATTTTATAACTTATATTTTTTACCTGTTCTGTTACTGTTTCGCCAATATAACAGAATATAAAAATGTTGAAAGTCATGGATGTATATATAATCATCATACAAGCTATTGTCATTTTTGTCTCTATTGTATTCCATCCCTAAAAATTTATCATAATGTATTATAACAAATGTGTATAGTGCAATGCACTGTATATATAGTATATACACACACACACACACACACACACACACACA